TCAGGTTTCGTATAACTATGTCCACTCTGTAATGTCAGATATAATAGGTCGATATGTGAAACTATACTTGTTAGAGTTCAGGTTTCGTATAACTATGTCCACTCTGTAATGTCAGATATAATAGGTCGATATGTGAAACTATAGTTGTTAGAGTTCAGGTTTCGTATAACCATGTCCACTCTGTAATGTCAGATCTAATAGGTCGATATGTGAAACTATAGTTGTTAGAGTTCAGGTTTGTTGTAACAATCATTCGGTGTTTTCTTTAACTTCAGAACAAAACTGTTATCAACAAAGTATAAAATAAATAACTGAGAAAGCTTCGAGAAATTGCATCTCGGAGATAAATAAGGAATTTCTGAGAACTGATTTCCAGGAACACAGACTTTGTCACAAACCTATCTTTACTTTCCAGTAAATATTTACTGTCAATAATCGTTTAATGTCTATAAATTGTAACATGAGACTCGTAGCCATAGGAAAGGGGGTAGGGACCAAAACATCTCCCAAATTTCTCTTGGCCTCTTCCAACAAAATAATGACAAATAAATACTAGATGTTCGAAATAGAATAAATAAATAATATTGTGTGTTTTGTCCTAAGCCTAAAAATTTGATTTGTAAATGACGTAAAACAATATATGTGTATGGCCTTCCGGTGGCTCAGCGGTAACGTTGAGGGCTTATAATACTAAAAAATAGGTTTCGGTATATGCTGTGGGCAGAGCACAGATAGCCCATTGTGTAGGTTCGTGTTTAATAACAAACAAAAAATAATATTAATTAAAATTCACGTAATTTACATATTATATATTTCACACACCATAATAATTGCTGTTCATAAAAATACTGTTATTATGTCTGTCGTATCCCCGTCGCCCTGAAGAGCCTTGCTATTGAACGAAAGGCCTCGTCGGCACTAGATAATGCAGATGTATTGTGCTTAGCCTATTTATCTTTACTTTCACTCATATGATTATTTTGTTTATGTTCATTTTCTACTTATCTGTATTGGTATAAAACCAATACCTTTTGAAACCGTTGTCACGGAATCCAGATTCGTGAATTTGAAACTGAGTTATTAGAGTAGTAAAATATCCTGCTCTCCAATTAATAAGAACGGCCTCACCAATGAAACAACCTTTCGTACAGATTTTTGAAATCGAAGCGTTTACTGTGGAAGAGACGTGGACCTGTTAATAACGAACAAGTTATACTGAATAGGCTGGACTTTATTAATACCTGTCACTTTTTCGTAACCTTGGAACAATATTCAGTAAGTTTCTTGAAGTCTTTACGAACCTAACATTGTTTTCAGTCGTCTTCAGTGACTAAAGAGATGACTTCTAGAAACAGCCTGTATTAATTAGAGTAGAGACCGAAGTCATACTGACTAACATGTGTAGTTTGATAACTGTACTTACATAAACTGTGAGTCTGTATGTAGCTGTATCAAATGATATGATATGATATGATATTGTTCTCTTCATCAAGAATATTAAACTGTGGGGATTATCAGTTCTTTAAGTATTAGAATGTGTATGTGTATTTACATATATAATTATAACATAACTTGAAGAATAGCTAATTCTTTTTCAACTACAAAAACAAATCGTCCCGAATTAAAAACCTGAATGTTAGAACATTGATTTAAAACCAGTCTACTGTTATCTCAACCACAGATTCTCCTGCTATCCTTACAAGATGTTCAAAGAAATAAAACCTGATAAGAACCCAACCTGTATGTTAGAACACTGAGTTGAAACTAGTTTACTGTTATCTCAACCACAGATTCTCCTGCTATCCTTACAAGATGTTCAAAGAAATAAAACCTGCTAAGAACCCAACCTGTGTGTTAGAACACTGAGTTGAAACCAGTTTACTGTTGTCTCAACCTCATATTTATTTTAATATGAATGTTGTTTAGATTAAGTTTATATTTAGAAACATACATAGCTTATACTGTTAGATAGGTATTGCGAAGCTCCCGCCTATTATCCAAAGTTGTAGAAGATTCTCGAGAGTAAGAATCAATAATATATCTATATAAGTAAACGCTTTAACCAGTACTGTTACGTAAGACTGAATTTTCTAGAAAACCTTCCCACCCCTATAAATATAACTAAAGCGACGCGCCAAGAAGAGTGTCTATTATTAGTTCGCTATAATCGATGTGCTTTAAAACTTCGAAAGCTATAACTGTGATTGTTATAACGCTTATCAATCGGAAAACTTAAGCTATCTGACCAGGAATATTTACAAAGTTCGAACATTACAAATCATTTAACTGCAGTGGATTCTCATCGAACATTATATAACTTCATCGTGGAAAACTCGTCGTGCGTTGGCTGGTGAATAACGAAGAGCAAAGCTAGCTAGCTCCCGATGAAGCGTATTGTACCTACATCAACTCGCAATTAACTCGCTCATCGTAAACCCTCGATAAGATATCAAGGAAGTTACGGACTAGAAAGTAGACTTTATATTGTTTGTAAGTTTGTGAAACTTTTGTTTATAAATCATTGTTTGTAGTAACTATTTATAATAATTGTTATTCTAAATTGTACTGTTGTGTGTATATTCAAACTTATTTGTGTTAGAAACAAAAACGGTGTGTATCAATCTTGTTGGCAAATATCATAAACTGACTATATATCATCATATATTTAAATACTAAATCCAAAGTATAATTTAACTACTAATATTAAATTATCAATTAACTCGGCTTCGCACTATTCGAAATTCTAATACATAACAGTGGTAAGAAACAACGGTAGGTCGTAACATATAAACCTGTAATGTCACATTAAGTAACATATCTCTAGTATAGCACAATACTAGACACGAGGGCTATCGGTAGTAGCCATCCCTAATTTAGAAGTGATAGACTAGAGGGAGGGCAGCTAGTCAACACCACTCACCACCAACTCTTTGGGTACTCTTCACCAACAAATAGTGGGATTGACAGTCACATTGTAACGCTCCTACGGCTGAATGGACAAGAATGTTCAGTGATGGGATTCGAACCCGTGACTTGCAGGTTACGAATCCAGTGCTCTAACTACCGGAAATAAAGAGCATAAGACTGTGTCTTTATCTAGAAACACTGAAAATCGAAACTTCGAGAATTCGCAGTTAAGCATAAACGTTAAACTCCTATTAAACAATAAATCGATTTTCACTGTAAAAGATTAATTAAACTTTCTTTGTTTTAGGTATATAAGGAAATCTCTATTCTTAATAAACAGAAAAACATTTAAAGATTTCTTAAACGTATTGATAAATTACAAAAAAAGTTTTCTTGTTATATATATAATCTGCATAACAACTTAGATTACTGTTTGAAGATTCTCATTGATGTATCCTATTAACAGTATTTGTTTAAGTAAAATTAATGATAAGTGTATCAATTTTAATGCGTATGATTCCTTCTCTAAGGTAAAGGCCAAGTATGACCCTCAACTCGCGTCTGAACTGTTGAACTGGATTAAAGACCTCACAGGTGAAGATATCAGTACAGATGGAGACAGTAAGAACTTCTACGATACGTTGTGTGATGGGATAATCCTTTGCAAGTACGTTTTATTCCTATGCTCCAGTTTATGCAGAGATGGTGAATTTCAAACCACTCCCTTACTCAAAATATTTAACTTCTGAATTTACAATATTATCTTATCTGTTTGTTCCTAAACGCAAAGCTGTACAAGGGACTATCTGTGCTGTATCCACCACGGGTATCAAAACTCGGTTTTTAGCGTTATAAGTTCTCAGATTTATCGCCGAGTCATTTGGAGGCGGTATTACGCTATTAGGCTCTAAAGTTTAATGTCAATGTATCAAATTTTTGTCAAACAGCTGAATTTAACATCCGGGAAGAGTGTAGTCTGACGTCCGTTAGTAAAACACTATCAGAGTTAGAAATGAATGTATTCTTGTATGTAATCTGAAAATAATAATAATGTTATGTCAGTACGCATAAAACCAGTGTCTGTCTTTTTGTAACGTTACGTTCCAACAGTGTCTTTTATGTTATGTTGCTTAGCGACAAAAGAGTGACCCGATATTGTTGTTATAGTCTATGTACTGAAAGTGTAAAATGAAATGTCTAGACAGCGAAACTGAGAAAATATATATTTGTTGATTTCTTAATTTAGTGTCTTCGTTGATCAAAAATGTTTTTTTTTTTTTGGAGGTATAACAGAAAAATAGTTTATTTCAGAAGTGATTTAGGTTTAAGACTGAATTGATGTTTTTTCTTTCATGACAAACTTTGGGCCTAGGCTAGGTGCTTCCATATTAAGTCTTCACTATAGGCTTAATTATAAAACAAAATAGTATCTTAGGTTCACTTATCGCATCGTGATAAAGGTAATTAACAAATTGTTATTCATGTTTTTGGAGTTAAAAAAAAGCAGAGTATGTAAAAAAAAATACAACAGCTGAGCGCTTTATTGCACTGAAACCCAAATATTTCTGCCAACAATGCGGTGCAGTCAGTTTCCTTTGTTTAAAATCAAACACAATACAAGTTTCCTTATTGAAATAAAAAAACGGTTGTAAACAGCCCACTAGACAATCATATTGCATCTACGCTCTGATACAAGGAATTGTGTTGACTGCACATTATACATTTGTTAACAACTATTTTCAAGAAACCGTTGAATTCTTTCAATGAAATCTGCTATATCATTTACTATAAAATATAGGCCACTGGGTAACAAAACATAAGCAGCAAGAACTGTAGCCTCGGTCCATATCAATTCTCGTTAGAACAGCTATGAAAGCGATAAATAGTCACACTGATAAGCCAAAAAAAAAGCTACAATCTCAGTGATGTATTTGCTCTTCTGACTCTCCCTCTATTTAACGAGGAAGCAGGGCACAGCCTAGTCTTAACTTATAGTTGCTACAGCCTAATATGTAGAAGTTTGACTTAAAAACAACAACTAACGAACGATCTGATACCTTCTTAAAACTGCTCTGTGTATTCGCTTTTTAGTTTGTTTAAAGTTTGTTTTTAATATTCGCATGTTCAGATCAGAAACCTAGTCAATTTACGTATATAATTTATCAACCGGAAAGCCAATCTTTAATAATACATTAACTTTGCTTGGAAAACGTTTCTGCACAAATATAAAAGAAAGTTTAAGTTGGATGATTTAGGCATCCTTACTTAAATAATTATATTTTCTAGCATTTGAAAAAGAATTCGTTGTTGTCCTGAGAACATTGACTTGCAAACTAAGTGCAGGACATTGAGTCGCAAATTAGGTAGGACAAGATAGTTATCACAACATCACATATCTTATGGTAAATACAGTAGAAAGACACTTTACGGTCGTATATAATTTAGTATAAGGATAAGTTTCAGAGATTGGTAGTAAACTGTGGTTAATCAACATTCAGGATAAGGTTTAATGTTGCAGGTTAATCAACTTTCAGGATAAGGTTTAATGTTGCAGGTTAATTAACTTTCAGGATAAGG